TAATTATAAATTTTATTACTGTGGAATCTTATGTTCATGTGAGCCCAACAAATTTGTTTGAAGAATCAAATTGTCTTGGATACATTCAAACACGTTTGTAGGACAAATGTACCCGTATACATACGTGCTTTAATTCACATCACCTGGGAAAATATCTTGTATGTATTCAAAACAACATTATCTCAGCGTAACAAGGCGTATTGTTCTAATCTCGTCGATGGAAGGGCTAGTATCGACACACCCCACTGTTCAGTCAACATACCCAAGTACTAATAACATTTCTATAAAAATAGATACAAGGTTCAGTTATCCGCGTAAGAGTCCAGGCATCTTTTATATTACACAACAACAACACTCACCTTTCAAACAGGATTATTAAAGTATGCAGTAGCGTTAACGAAGCTTGCTAAGAGGCTTGTGCTCGATGGGTTACTATAAGCTGCTAAAGTATTGATAAGCGCTGTATATTTATTATTTTAATATTGTATGTAGTGTGGGCTGTGTACACAGGTGTTTGATCCGTCAGTCCGTCACTGTGACGGTGTGACCCAAAAAGGGATCGATACTTTTTATACTCTCTATATGAATCTCTAAGAATATAAAAAGTGTTAAACTCAGTTTTCAGAATTGAAAACTAGGTTTATGTAAAAAAAAACTAAAAAGCCAACATCAGAGCGCTATGTATTCGTATATTTATGCTAGTAAATACCCCTGGCTATGGCCGCAGATTGTTGTCATTTTGGTGATTGTTTGTCGTTCATATAATACAACGGACAACCCCATATTTATATCAATCGTAGCACCATATAACACAAGCCAATATTTGACATCCGTTTCTAAATAGGAATCGCTCGCTCTGGTTTATTTCTTTCGGCGAGTGGTGCCCGCTAGAAAATACATCCGCATGCTCCATATGTCTATATAAATGCACAGAGGAATAACAGTCCAAGGATGCTGTATCAAAGTAACCTTATGGCAGCTCAGGGAAAGGCAAATCGTTGCCATTGCCAAACAAATTATTGACAACTCCAGCTAGTGGGCCCAAGGCACCAACGTCATCGTCGCCCGGGGCAACCGCTGGATTATTCATAGCAATATCACCAACGGCCGGGAAGCCTGTAGGGTCTACGTTTGTACCGAACGGATCGCCAGGAAACAGATCAAAGCCAGGCAATACAGGGTTGGGGAAAACTGGCTGGCGTTTGTTGATCTGTGTGATTGTGATGGTTGGAGAAACATGCGTATCAATCAAATCTGAGAAGTGCGTTTTTTATACATATGTTTCGAGTCATATTTTTGGTACCACTCCAGGAAGAAGAGCTCCTTGAAAAGCACGAAAGGGGTTTGTGAATCGAAGTAAAACATACTCACAGGCGGCTAAATCCTGTACATCCCATAACTTACAGGGTGACCCATTGCTTGGCAGAAAAGGAGAGCCATAATAAATGTCGACAGCCACTGTAGTGAAGGAGAGAATAATACTATCTATTCTTTGCGCCAATTTATATGACGAGCAAGCACGTCAGTTGTGCAAATTCCAGGCGCAAACAGACCACATATAGCATTAAAGTATATCCAGAACAACGGAACAAACATCGCTCATGCTAGACGTGTATAAATTTGAACATTGGAACCAACCTGGGCGGAAAACATAGTTGTTAAAAATGTATTGTTTAACTGGTGGAAGCGGCTACCCCCGTGGTAAAATGTTTAGAGTCGTCTCGGTACACGAGTCTTAAATAGGCTGTTCCTATGATGAGAAAGTACTGAATTGATATTATAATGTTGGTGGTTAACCCGAATCGAGATGGCTTTGTACGTGCTCGAACACCCCAACGTGGCCGTTTTACTCTGACAGTCGTAAAAGAGTGGAACAACCTCTACAAAATACCCTGTATTTAGCTAGTGCGATGCTGCTTCACAGTGCTGAAAGAAGACCTACTTAGTGACCAACGTTCTCTCATTCACATGGAGCACATTTGCAGAGCGGTGGAAATATTACAGGGAGAATAGGCCATGACTCACCAGTGTTGTGGTACTATGTGAAATGTACATTCTGTTATCGATGAGTATTGAAATCCGTACGGCGGTTTTCGTTCGAATCAATCATTAGGCTATCCCTTCATATATAATCTGTTATCGTCTGTTGATACCACGACAGTAACTCGTCGATACCGTTGTACGGTAGCTCAACAGATACACAAATGTCAACATTGAACCCGCTACACATTCATATTATCCAATACTCACATTCGCGATAGGACTCTTTGATCGCAAGTGTCTACTTGTTGATTGCCCCGTGAGTGTTTGCTGTTTGTATGTTTACACACTGTTTATCTAGTCGCATACCGCATACGCACCCCACTTTCAAATTGGGGTTTTCAAAACTTCTTATAAAAAATTCCCACGATTTGAAAAGCTCAGCATGTTGTCTCGAGACATTTAAATATTTTGTTAAATGTTCACGCGATAACCTGCGAGTTTGGTCACGTCTATTTTAGAAGGTTATGGTTTGGTGTGGGAAGAATTTTCAAAAGCGCATAATAATATTGTCAAGTATTCACAACAAAATGACTTTTTAAAAAAGTCAACAGAGAATCCGACATCTGTCGTAACTCATACAGCCACAGCCTGACAGCCCACATAAATATCATCATATTTATCAAATGATATCATTCAGACAATGATCATTCGAAAGCTCAAATCAGAAAAACGCCTTCTAAAAAAAAAAGCAAAATGGCAAGTGAAAATGCTGGAGATTCCTCTGAAATTACTCCCACAAATCAAAAATCTGTGGCAAACTGAAAATTGAAAGGATTGACGATTCATTTTAGACATCTGTAATTCTGTATGTATGTAGTCTCACTCAAAACATAGTCTGTACATGTGCAATCATGCATACTGCATACAACTATACATGTATATAAATATTATACATGCATACAATTTTAAAACCGATTGTATGAGTACATTCTAAATATCAATAAAGCTCCTATCGCCGCAGAAGGGGTCCTCCTCGCTCGTACGCTGAGACAGAATGATCAGTAGATCGAGATAACATACATACCCCACTGGGGGTGTCCTGGTAGCGTACATTGTGAGGAATATAGTCAGGATGCTAGCTGGTCTTGTCTTCGTCATAGTGGCCGTGGTAGCATCATACCATGGCTTTGAGTACTTTAAGGTAAAATTATGGGTGGCCGTCTATGCACGCAACTTTATTTAAAACTTCGAAAGTATACACCCCTCATAAATATGAATACCTATTCAGTTGAGATGCACGTGGTGCACAAGATGTCTCGAATTCATTTTGATGTCAATGGCCCATAACGTTTCACCTATGTATCCTGCTATATA